TATCTATGTGTGTGTGTGTGTGTGTGTGCGTGTGTGTGTGTGCGTGTGTGTGTGTGTGTGTATGTGTCATCCCCTCCTCAGGCAAGGGTTTTTGGAAGTGCCTAAACTCCCCCCTCCCTGTCCATAGTCAAATAAAGAGTTCTCCGCAATACAAAGACACTACAAATTACCACAGCCCCCTGCTACCAGCACTCAGGAGTTCAACCTCTCACCACACACACACACTCATAGGTTTCTTATTGTGACTCCATAACAGAGAGAGAGAGCGAAAGACTGTGGGAAACAGTTCAACTGATACGTCTAGTGCCACTCCTAAGCTTATTAGCCAAATTACCATGATGCCCATCATCATTTCCTGTTAAAACACTTAAGACACTGATTTCCATGCAACTGATGCTAAATTGTCAAACCTAATTGATCTGAGCATCATACGAGACATCTACACCTCTCACTATCTCTCACATCTAGCTGACATGTACAACAGCAGAAGCTTTTAAGGTGTTTTTGTGAACAAGATGGGGCGACTCGGTCGCCAACCTGCCCCCGAAAACCCCCCACCAAGCAATGGACCCCGTCTGGTGTGACAGCCGTGGTGGTCTCCCCTGAAATCCCTGCCCCTCCTCCCTTGCTTTTCCCCGCTGTCCTTCAGCGTGCGCTGGGCTGACATGGGGAGTGGACTGACGAGGAGCGTGTCATGTCTCCTGCTCCTCAAACCGCTGTCACAGCGACCTGCGCCTCCACTGTCACATACACTCTGCTCACAGCCCTCCTTCTGTCTACCATGTCACAAACGATAAGGAGCCTGGCCCTTTAGTCACATTCTGCATAAGAGTGTACGTGCTCATGTGTTAAACTGCATGCAGGTGACATACGTCGGCTGTGAGTGTGTTTCTGTTCTAGCTGTGTGTCACAACAAAACTGATGGATAAAAGACGGACCAAGAGAAAAAAATATTTTCTCTCTGTGTGTCAGAAAATAAAGACGTTAAAAAAACAAAGCAAAACTAAAGAAAAACAAAACACACAACAAAACAAAAACAAAGCAAAGCAAAACTAAAGAAAAAACAACAAATCATAACTACAAAAACCAAAACCAAAACAAAACACAAAAGTACTAAAAACAAAACTAAACAAAAAACACGCAACCCCAAAAACAAATCAACAAAACAAAATACCAAAAAAAAACAACTACAAACTAAACAACACACACAAAAAAAACAAAAACAAAATAAGACACAAAAATGAAACAAAATCACAAAAAAAACATGTTTTTTGGACATTGGACCATGGTAATATTATTTTTGCACATGTACCATGGTAATACCCTGCTATTCTTTTAAGCACTTTGAACCTCTGTGGTAGATGAATATGTCAATCATTCCATACCAAGATATCAAAACGCCATGGTATTATTACCATAACTGTACTATGGTACATTTGGTTCCATGATGAGCATTTATGCCATTTCACATCCTTTTAAAAACACTACACGCCATCATGCACATTCATAATAGTTTGTTATGAGACTAATATGGTTATCCAGATATAGTACTGGTGCAGTAGTATCATGTCAAACAATATTAAAGATCCACAGTCACTATCTGCAACACTTGTAGATTATTTGGCTTTAAATATACGTATATCAGAATAGAAGTCCAATGCCAAGAGGTTCAGGTTGAGAGCCATGTCAGTATAAAGATCGTGGTTGGCTAGACGTTGAGGTTTTGGCACAAGCAGACAGGCTGTATGAGGCCTTGGACAGTTTGGAAAGAGAGACAGAGTGATGACCTGTCATCCTGTCAGCCATGACCTTAAGGCACCATCCATATTGTCCCTCATCTCTCTCTCTCTACCCTGCACGTTTCTCACTGGTTCGACACATGTCTATCACTTTCTGTTTCCCTGCCTCACCCTCACTTTTCTCTCTCTTCCTCACACAGATACACATTCACACAAACAGTGGCGTCCAAAAATCTGAGACCAGACTGAAAATCTTGTCTTTCTTCATATAAAATAATTCCTATTTCCTAGACAGTGATTAGATATTTAAATAATTCAGAAATTCGATAATATATATAAATAAAATCAAATGCAACAATGATACAGATACAAAAAAAGAAAATAATATACATTTAATTAAAATGTAATTAAAAAGGAATTGAAAAATGTGGTGTCAGACTTTTAGACTGTATATAAAACTGCTACTCTTTACATTCACAAATGCATGGAATATACAAAGAATAAGAATAAAATTACACACAGTGGAACAAAGTCATCTCACACACAGAAGAAAGAAGAAATAACTTAATTGCAGTCTTCCCTCACATACATCCCACAGTTTTATAGGTCGAGGGTGGAGCTTAACGCTAATCCACACCCAATAGAGTAGGTTGCATTTACATTCTCACCTTCTGGGGCCTGCGAGCACCTGCGACTTAGATTCCCTTTTCCTCCAGACCTCCATGATTTTGTTCTCTTTCTTAGAGGGAGTCAAGGGCTCAGGGGGGGAGGGAAACAGAGAACTAAGCAGCTCGGTCTCTGACATGGGCCATTTTAGTAGCTCATTCACTCTTTGACTTCATATCCCACACACACACACACACACATTCACAAAGGTTATCAGAAGATGGTGTGAGGGTAAATGAAAAATAAAAGAAGATGATAAATATGCAAGTAATAATGAAAATAACCATGGGAATAAAAACATAGATTCAGACAAAAATAAGACAAAAAATAAGACAAACAGACAAAACATACTTTGAAGACTCCTGTGAACCAGGTAATGAGGCAACTTGAGCTTCTTGTAAAAGCAGTGAAACTACTGTGGGATTCTGGGAGAGAAGCATTATTACCTGTGACCAACCACAAAGCTTTGAAGAGAAAGAATGGGGTTTCTATTAAACACAGGAGAATGAGTCGTTCGGCGGCCAAAAGAGAGTCTGTGCTCTTACTTTACCTCTGTTTCTGCCCATGTGTGGAAAGTGGATGTATAGAGAGAAAAAAAGGCAGGACAGTGAAGAGGAATGGAGTGATTTTAGGAGGAGGAGAAGAAACAGAACTTCGGGTATGAGTAGGATGAATGACAGGGAGAGAACATGAGAGATAAATGATTGGAGAATTAATTTGATTATAAATGAGAAGGAAATGAAGTGGGTGTTAAAGAGACAGAGTGAGAAATAGATAAGGAGTGTGAGATCAGCGCTACCTGTTGCCGTGAACGTGAGAGGCGCAGAAGGCGTAGCTGTAGTGCAGTAGTGTGGGGTCAATCATGGACCCTTTCTCTGCCCTCTCCAGCAGGTCATTCAGGTAACACAGGTGCCTGTGACACCCTCGCACTCCGTACCTGGCACAGTACTCATCTAATACGAAAACCTGACCTGGACTGAACCAACCCTGAGGCACACATTCAGACACAAAAGTGTGGTTTCAGTAGTGCAAATGTGATTATACATGATAATATAAATAGGACAGCTGTAGCTCTAACTGAATAATACTGAATTGAAAGCTTGGTTACCAAACAGGAGTATGAATCATTGAGTCTGTGGTCCAGTGTCAACCGCTGAACCATCTCAAACAGCGAAGAGTGGTCAAAATTGCAGGGGTTAGCGGAGATGAACTCATCCATTCCATGTTTCTGTGCTCGGTCTGCATCTGTGTGTATGTGTGCATGTTAATGTATGGAGACAGAGACAGGCTTCAAAAAATGTACACAGCTCAAAGTCACAAGAGCACACACTCCTTAGAGAAAGGTCTCTAACCTGAGACAGATGTCAGCCTAAAAAGTGTCATTGTTAACTTGCATTACACTGTATATTCAATCCAAGGTGCATTATGAGCAATGCTTGAAGTGCAAAATAAAAATCAGAGCAGGTACTCATGTTAAATAAATGTATAAGCAATATATTTATTTACTGTGTCTATAA